ATTCGTAATGATTTCATATTTCTTTTTTTTTATATTCATGGTGATTAGGTTTCTTCATTTTTTAATTGTTTTAACTTTATTTTTTTTTTTATTATTTTTTGTGGACTATTAGAATTATTTACAGCATTAAATTATGCAAACAAAAGGCAAATTAACTGGTTCATTTAAATTGGCTGAGTTTTCTATTTTTGGTGGTTTAAGAAATTTGAAAAAAAAAAAAAGTTTTTTTCCAGCTTTTTGTTCTCTTTCCCTTAAAAAAAAAATAGGTATTTCTAAATTGTTAATTGCTCAAATTTTCTATTGTAATGGAAGCAATTTAAAATAATATTAATAATGCTTAAAAATATTGCTATATGCCTATCTTTTTCTGTTTTATATTCTATAATATAGCGAAAATACTAGAGTACCTATATTTAAAAGTATAATATACACAAGGGTCATACAATATAATAATCTTCAAAATTATTCATAGATTCTAACTAAAATATTTATAATTATTAAACTGCATACATTACCAAGTTCAAAAGGACTAAAAGCAGCGTTCTTTTAAATTAAATTAATAGTAAGCGTGTAACTCTAAATAATCTTAATATTATTATTAAATTAAGATCAGATTCCCAGTAATCTGAATTGTCAGTAATATTATTAAGCTGAGATATAGTATTGGGATATATAATAATTATTTTATTAAAATATAGGAAATTTTTTGATGAGATTTTTAGCACAGCCGCTTATGTGTTAAGGCAAGCCGTTTGTGGAGCGTTAATTAACAAAATCTAAAATCCCTTTTATATAATCAATAATATTTTAAATAATACGGAAAATCATGATATTTTCAGTAATTTAATAATAATAATTATATCGTAAATTATATAAAATTGTAAATATTAAAACTAGAAATCCAACTAAGAATATGACATTTTTTTTTCGGTAAAATTTTATTACCCACAATTCAATAAGCAATTTTGATGTTGTTTCTTGAATAATAATGATGAGGTCGTTCTAATAATAAAATATTCTCTATGATTATTTTTGATTGTAATGTCTCAAAAATTAATGAATTTAATAAAAATTAATTTTGATGTTTATTTTTCTAATTAACCCAAATTACAAATAATATTATTTTCAATGAAATTATTTTTTTGTGAAAAGGAAATTAGAGTATGAGAATAATGAAATTTTTCGATTTTTTTCTTGGAGTTTTTTTTTTTTTCATTTCGGAAATTCCTTAAAAAAAATTAATACAATAGCCAAGTAAAATGAAAAAGGATCTCTTTACATACACATGCATATATAATGTACATGTTATATTAAAAAAAAAATATTTGTATTCAAGAATAATATGAATAAAATACAAAAAATTAAAAAGGATGTTGGTTTAATTATAGATAATTCTAATAATGTAAGTGATTATTATTAATTACAAATAACATTAATATTAAGGAAATTTAACCATTACAATGTGTAATGGAACGATATGGAAGTAAATTAAAAAGATTTTTCAAAAATAAAAATTAGTAATTGAAGGAAGTTATATATGTACATGTCTCTTAATTCATACCTAGTATGTAACATTCGTATAGTTATGCATAGAATCGTAAAAATGGTGAAGGAATATTAAATTAATTTGAAAATATTTACAAGAAAACTTATTCTACTTAAGTACATGTAAATTTATTAGATCTAATTTTGAAAATTTATTGGTTTTATTAAATTGAAGAAAATTACATATGACACGTGCATTATACTTGAAGGCAGAACTTTTGATATACTCTGACGAAATTTAATTAACTTTGACTTTCACTTTTTTTTTAATATGTTTCTTAAATATAAGTAAACCGTATTTAAATAAAGGCGTATTTAAATATATTAAACGTGTCGTATTTTGTACTAGGACATTACCGTTTCTCATTAATATTTTAATAATTAGAAAAATAATAAAAATTAACTTAAATAAAGTTAGGTCAAACCAATTTAGGTTTGGTCGTAACACTTTTCCCTTCAACAAATGAAAATACTTCTTTTAAAAACAATCTATGTACTCTAACCACACTATTAAAATTATTTTCATTCATAAACGAAACTATTTCTAGGATTGCATACATTTAGGATGAATGATTTATGCAGTCTTTGAAATAAAGCAAAAAAAAAATTTAAAGAGAGGTTTTAACATAATGCACGGTTTTAAAGGTTAATTACGTCAGTTAAGAAAAATAATTATAGTTTTTAATGGCCTGGAATTTACCGTTAGCTTTTTGTGTTTATAGAAATTTGAAAAAGCTTGCCGTTTCGCAAATATAAAGTGAGATGCGTTGGAGATGGGAAAAATTTTTCTTCTAATGAATTATTTATTAGTGTCGAAGAGCCGTTTTAGAAGAAGCCATCCACTATATTGTTGCGTTCGTAAAATTTGAAATGAAACTAATAAGCACTTTTTTTTCAAAATTTTTTTCGGAAAAGTTCTAAAAATTGGTTTGCTTTGGAATAATTTTTTAAAAACTTGAATAATTGAAGAAATTGCCCTAACCGAAATTTGTAGTTTCGATCTAATCTTTCATAAAATTACTTTTTCTCGATGTTTGGATTAAAAATTTAAAATTTTGAATATTTAGATTAAATTTTTAATCAATTCTTTCATTAATCAGATCATATTAATACTGTTCCTGCTTCCTAATTAACTTATTTATGTAAAAAGTGCATGTTATGTTATTGCACATTAACGCCTTACATATTGAAGTTACAGGTAATCATATACTAAATTCTTAGGTGTAAGCTAAATTTCAACAAATATATGGCCGAATTCCTCAAATTTCGACCATATTCATTAAATTTTAAAATAAAATTTTCCCTTTTATGTTGCCAATTTTATAATCCAAAATGCTTTATTCTAAATAATTTTTAGCACTTTTCCAAAAATTTTTTGAAAAAAGTGCTTATTAGTTTCACTCTGTCCGTCCGTCCGTCCGTCCGTCCGTCCGTCCGTCCGTCAGTCCGTCCGTCCGTCCGTCCGTCCGTCCGTCCGTCCGTCCGTGGACACTTTTTTTGTTTACAAAACTTTTACACCCTTGAAGAGAGAAAGCTGAAATTTTGTATGTGCATAGATCTTTACTAGAAACTTATTTCCGTAGAACAAAATTTTTACCTATCTCCCCCCCTCTAGAAGCTATACCCCCCCAAAACCCTAAAAATGGCTTTTTTTAACTATTTGCTGCAAAGAAATCATAAGCATTTTTGAAATTCTGCAAACGCAGAAAGGCAGCGGCTTACTTCCCCTAGCGCAGTATACTATAGTTAAACTTTAGAAAAACAAAATGGCCGTTCAAATTTACCGTTATCTAAAGTCCTTTTTTTCCAAAAGTTTTTATGTCGTTTTTCTTCTAGACCCCAGCCTGTAAGAGCCTGAAATTTTAGGAGCTTTTAGACATTAACAAATAGTTTATTTCGTTAGAAGAAAATTTTTTCCCATCTCCACCCCCTCTCAAGTTATGGCCTCTTGAATTTTGTAAAATTTGAATTTTTGACACCTTATATTTCCGAAACCGCAAGCTTTTTCAAATTTCTATAAACGCAAAAAGCAAACGGTAAATTCCATGACATTAAAAAATATAATCATTTTTCTTAACTCACACAATTAACCCTTAAAATCGAGCATTATATTAACCCCACTTTATATTAATTTTTGCTTTATTTCAAAGACTGCATAAATTGTTCATCCTAAATATATGCAATCCTAAAAATAGTTTTGTATATGAATGAAAATAATTTTAATAGTGTGATAGCTATACATAGACTGTATTTAAAAGCAGAATTTTCACTTGTTGAAGGGAAAAGTGCTACAATACAAACCATTGGTTTGACCCAACTTTATTAGTTTTCTTTGTAATCCTTGAAAATTTTTTTATCTTCTAATTACTTTTATTTTCTAAAAATATAAGAGCGTATCATCACCTTTCTTTATAATTATATTTCAAATTATGATGTCCTTTGGGCATTTTATTCCATTTAAACTTCTGGACATATAATAAAGTTCTTAATTTAAATTTTGTATTTGATTTTTCTTTTCTAAGAATCTTTTGGGTTTTAAGTGAATTTAAAATTTGACTTTTTTAAAATTATCTTTTGATTTAAAATTTTTATAATTTTTAGAATGTTAAAAAATTAAGGAAAATGAAAAAAGAAAAAACTCCTTATTATTCGGGACCTAATAATCATTTTATTATTTTTTAAGTGGAAAAATTTAATAAAAATTGTTAGAGGCCAAAGAGAACATTTTGTTTTTTTTTTTGTTGTTTTTCACTCTTCGTTACGCTTTAATCCTTAGGGATTTGTTAATTCATTTTTATGATATGAATAAAATCATAACTGTGTTTATGTGCGCGAAGATGATGCGATAATTATAATTTCAATTACGTTTGCTTTCTTTTAATTTTACATTTTTTTGCCTTTTTTGATTAAATATGAACGTGCTTGGTGCTGGTACCTAGAAAAAGGTCTTTTGTTTTTTAATGTGACGTTTGACACTTCAAATTTGTTTTTGTTTTTGCTCATTTTGTTGTCCTTGTTGTAAATTTTGATTAGGGTTACCCTAAAGCTTAATTTTGTTTTAAAAGTAAATTTATTCTTCTGTTGTTTACGTCAAAAATATGAGAAGTACAAAGTTTTTCGATTAAATGTATAGAAACTTTTGTTTATAATTTGAGGGGTGCAATCATGTGACGTTAGCAACTGTTAGAAGCTTTTATTTATTATACACAAAAATTAAATTCTGTTAGCTTTTGCATAGTAACGGGAAATAAATTTTAAAGTGTTATAGGAAACCGAAAATCAATTTGAAATAAACAAAATTTAGTAAGCATAATTTTATTTGTTTAATAGAAAATTTCATTTATTTCTAAAATAAAAATTCAGAGAAATTTTAAAATTATTGGAAATTTACTCATATCATAGTTTTGCCGGTCTTACATATTATATGTAATTTTTTGAATTTACGGTATATTCAAATGTCATCACGTCGTAAACCGGAAAGCAAAACATATGGTAGTTGTCCAGATCGGACAACTGAAATAACACAACTTGATGAAGATGATGGTTCGGATTCAACTGAAGTATTGTCATCAACTGATGAAGAAGATCGATGGAAAGAAGCATCAAGAAGTACAGACATTCCTGCAGATTACTGGAATATACAAAAATTAATAAAATATATTAAAGCCGGAAATCAAACAGCGACAATTGTAGCTTTATGTTGCTTAAAAGATTATGATTTAACAACTCAAATCAATCAGTTAGCAATATCAGATATTGGTGGTTTAGAAGTCCTTACAAATTTATTAGAATGCAATGACGCAAAATGCAGACTTGGTGCACTAACAATTTTGGCTGAAATTACATTAAATATTGATATAAGACGAACTGTTGTTGATTTGGGTGCTGTGCCTTTAATGATTAATGTATTAAATACACCAGGTGAATTAAAAACTATGGCGGCTGAATGTTTAGCAAATGTTGCAAAAGTTCGTTTAGCTAGAAAATATGTTAGAAAATGTGGTGGTATACCAAAGTTAGTTGATCTATTAGATTGTAAATTGTCAATTTTACAAACTCCAAAAGATGAATTAAATCTTGAAGATAAAAAATATTTAGATGCAGCTAGAGCTGGAGCAAGAGCTTTATGGTCACTTTCAGATTCAAGACATAATCGAGAATTAATGAGAAAAAGTGGTATTGTACCATTAATGGCTAGGCTATTAAAATCTGTTAATATTGAAGTTGTCATTCCAATAATGGGTACAATTCAAAAATGTGCTTCTCAAGCAAATTTCCAATTAGCAATTACAACTGAAAATATGATTGTAGACATTGTTAACCATTTAAATAATTCCGATACTGATTTAAAATTACAATGTAGTACAGCGATATTTAAGTGTGCTGATGATAAGGGAGCTCGTGATTTGGTTCGGCAAGCAAATGGTCTTGATCCATTGGTTGCTATAGCACGCGATAAATCAGTACGTGAAAATAAACCACTATTAGCTGCTGCTACAGGTGCAATATGGAAATGTGCAATAAGTGCAGAAAATGTAAAGAAATTGGATGGTCTTCGAACTGTTGCTGTTTTAGTTCAATTACTTTCTGATGAAAATTATGAAGTTTTAACTCATGTTGCAGGTGGTATAGCAGAATGTGTTAGATTTCCAAACAATCGTGATTCATTACGAAATGCTGGTGGCTTACCCTTAATGGTAAATTTATTACAATTATCCCATGCACCACTTTTAGAAAATCTATGTAAAGCTCTTAAGGAATGTGCCGAGGATAATGAAAGTATGAAAATATTAGAACAACTAGACGGTGTTCGATTTATTTGGTCACTATTAAAAGATCCACATCCAAGAGTTCAAGCATATGCAGCATACGCTTTATGTCCTTGCGTTCAAAATGCTCAAAATTCAGGAGAATTAGTACGAAGTTTAGTTGGAGCTATGGAATTGGTGGTTAGTTTACTATCATCAAAAGATAATTTAGTTTTATCAGCTATATGTGCTGCAATAGCAACAATTGCAAGAGATGAAACAAATTTAGCAATTTTAACTGATTTAAAAGTTGTTTATAAACTGGCAACACTTGTTCATACAACAGATGATTTATTAAGAGAAAATTTAGCAGCAGCAATTGCAAGTTGTGCTACTTATAGTAATAATACACAAGAATTTGGTAGACTTAAAACTGTTTCACCAATTGTTGGTTATATGGGATCAAATAATCCAGCAGTTCATCGTACAACTGCTATGGCATTGGAAAAATTATCAATGGATCCACAAAATTGTATAACAATGCATCAAGCTGGATGTGTTCCATTTTTATTAGAAACTGTTGGTTCAACTGATCGAGTTTTACAATTAGCATCTGCTGGTACTTTAAGAAATATAAGAGAACTTGCACTTAGAGCAGAAGAATATATTTTGAAAATCGATGATGTCAAATTTTAAGGAAAAGAATTTCATGCTTTTCATAATATTTTTAACACTTTTTCAGTGAATTTTTTTTGCATATTTTGTATTGCCCTCAATAAAATAATTAATTACAATGATAATTATCAAATGAAATAAATTGATGTATTTAAAATAATTAAGAATAATTGTGAAATCTCTCTAAACTAAATTTTCGACCAATCAACAATAAAAATTTGGCGCGTAACTTTTAGTTCTAAGGGTACTTCTTTCAAAATGGCATGCTGGCAATTCTATTCAAATTCTATTTTATGATTTTAAGATTAAAAAAAAAACAAAATGGCACGTTTAATATTTAATGGATTTTTAAAAACGTTTTAATGTCCATTGTATAAAAATGGTAACAATTTAGATTATGATGACTCTGCTTTACTACCCGATAATACTTTTTTTTTAATTGTTTTGCATAAGGATATTTCTGGACGCACTTAAAAGTCTATTTGTTTTTTCTTCTTGTGTTTCCGTAACTTACCATGTAATGTACAAAGTAATATTGAGAGTAAGCAAAAATTAAATTTTTACTTTTATCTTTCTGTTTTATGATTTAATTAGGCTGAAAACATAATTACCGGGATTATTAATTTTAGCTGTGAAAGAAAATGATCTCGATAAAAGGTAGCTAGTAGCATTTTTAAATAAATTATTAATGAGATTAGAAAAAAAAAATGGATGGAAATTTTCTTCTTTTTTTTTTTTTGTTTTTTGAATCTGAATGAAGTTTCGTTTTTAAATGAAATTACGCGACAGTCGTAATAAATAATTAAAAAATGTAATAAAAAACAAAAATTAAAAATTTTGGTGTGAAAATTTTTAATTTTCTACTTTTTATCATGACATTTTGTTATAAACACTTGGTAGTGTTATAAATAAAATTAAAAAGTCTTTAAAATTTTATCAAAACAAGAGTCCCAATTCTTTCTTTTAAGAGTATGGTATGAAGTTTATCGTATATGAAATGGCAATTTTTAGATGCATCAGCTGATTATTAACAGTTGCAATAACAAACATTTTTAGAAACTTATAGATATGCAGTTTGAAGAAGCAAGCATTCCTCAATTGAGAAAATTTACACTTTATTTAAAAGAAGGCCTAAAAAGGAATGAAATGAGTGAAAGCTTCAAAGTGTTCACATTAAATTTTTATTAATAATTTTTTTTTAATTGAATTTAATACAAAAAATTATATTTCTATTTTTTATAAAAATTCTACATTGTTTATAAGTTTTTGTTGAAAATTCATCAATATAGCGTTTTATTTAAGAGAATATTCAATACATTTACTTGTATAACAGTTTCAATTAATATATCTCTTGTATAAAAGTGATAATATTTCAGAGGCAGGGCTGTCGTTTAATTTTTTGGATTTGGTGTTGAAATATTTAAAAATGGGAGCTATTTTCAAAAAATTGGAGTCAATTTCTATATTTCATACAAAAACAATTTATTAACATGAGAATACAAAGAAAAAACATTTGTTTTCAAACAGTTCTGTCATCAAACAGTTGACTATGTAATATTTTTTACAGGAAACTTTATAAACTGTATATGCAGAAATTACACAAATTAATTCCGATGATGGTTTCATATTTTTACATGAAAAAATAAACGTAAAATCTTTAAGACTAAAATTTATAAAATATCGTCGGTTAAAAAGCAGAAAGCATTAAGTCAGGAAACTGTGTTTTGAGTAAATTCAATTTGAAAAAATCGTAAAATTTAAAACTAATAAATGAGTGCAATGGGATTGGTCTTAGGCACTTAGTGCTTTCTGCCTTTTAACCGACGATATTATGTATATAGTAGGTTATACTTTTCCTCTATATAACTATTGCCATATAACAATAAATTACTGTACTATTACATTTACCAACTACTCCTGCTAAAGTGAAATAACTTTGTGTGTTTTTTATTAATGAAAGAAATGCGTCACTTAAGCATTGAGAAATGCGTCATTTAATCTTCAGAGATTATTCTTGTTTCATAAAGTTATTCACGTCTTAATGTGTAAGATGTAGTTTAATTTCTTTGAGTGTATATAGCATAAAGTCTATAAATTCAAGGTTATTGTTCATATTAAACCATAGGCTAGGGACATAACTATATTTAAATTCATTACAACTATTTAATCATTTGTTTTGACTTACAAAATTGTGTATATCCTTAATTATATTCTATACACAAACACACATACATATATGTGTAGCTGTTTAATATTTTCCTGCGAAAGTAAAAGTTACAAAGGTTAAATCATTTTTTTTTTTCTGTATAGAAACTTAAATAAATAGAAAACACAAAAAGGATATTTTGAAACGAGGTCCAGTACAATTTCCTTTTTTATTATTTTTGCTTGTATGGGTTTTTGTTTTAATTTTTGTTTTTTTTTGGCAAACATTCAAAATTCAATTTTGAGGTTGAAAATCAGAGTGAAATTTTATTTTAAATAATTTTTATTTTATTTTTTTTATTTTTCCCTTTTTTGTAAAATGAAATTGAAACCGCTGGTCTTGATTTTTATTAGAAAAATTTTAAAAAAGGAAAAAAAATAAATTTCACTTTTGTTCTCTAATTCAAGTGTGTAGAGTTGTGAATACCCTGTTTTGTCAATTCTTATATAAAATATATATTTTGTATATATAGCGTAATTTATCAGATACTTTAGATGTTCAATAAATATATATGTGTATGTATTCGTTCTATATACTTTTTATATGTAGATATTTCGTACACAATTTGGTAAAATTTTATTTTTAACTTTTCGAACTGAGTATTTTGTGTTTTATTTGAGTTTTGTTATTATTGAAAGCAGAATAGAAAAAAATTTTTTTTTTTTTTATTAAAGATTAATTCAATTGGAAAAGGATAAATCAATCGCGGAATATTTCTTCTCAAAAAAAAAATTAAAAATCAAATCAAATATTGAAAAGAATTTATTCCCTTGATTGTCAATATTGTAAATTGATAATGAATTTAATAATATAAAAAATAATTCGAAAATTTTATAGTTTTAAATTTAATTTTAATTGTTCACTTGTTACCGAATCCATATTTGTATAGAATACGGTTTTTAATTTGATGACAAAGATTTTAAATATTAATCAAATGTTTTTTGAAATTTTTAATTAAATGTTAAAAAAAATTGTACTAAATTTTAATATTTTTGTTGTTGTTAATTGAATTTATTAATTTTAAGTACTTCATTTACCACAGAGACTTTTTCTTCCTTTTCATTTGAGAAGTTTCTTTTTGTAAAATGTATTCAAAGCTGAAAGGTTTGAATATCTTTTTAAACAATTTTATTGAAATTTAATTAATTTAAAGCGAAAAGATCAAGTATTCAAATAGTATAATAGGATGTGGCTATAGTTATTAAATATTTTAAAAAATTTTGACCAATATTGTGAACCTTGCCCGAATAAAGTTTGAAAAAAATTCGAACAATAATCGGTTATATTTTATAGATTGAACCCATGGGTTTGAGTTCATAAATAAATAACTGTTATTTAAAAATAAATTAAATCAACTGATTCACTAATTGGTCTTGTGTTAATTGAGAAATTTGTATTCTAAAACACCATCTAAATCTGTAGGAAAATTTGATTTGATATTTACAGTAACGCTATACTTCCATTTTGCTACACGTTCCAATTTTCTGAACTATATTGTATAAGCAATATGATAAAATGTAATGAATAAAGTGGAAAACAAATTGAAATTCAGAAAAAGTTGGAAAAAAAGTTTTTTCTTTCCCAAAAAGGGCGCTATATACACCAAACTAAATTTGAAAAAAAAAAAATAAAAAAAAAAGGAAAATTTAATAAAAATCTTTTAGGCTCAAACATTTGAATTTTCTTTTCTTTTTTGCTTTACGGTTTTCATTTTAGGGGAAATCCACTAAAATTTCGAATTTTTATTAATTTTGTGGTTATAATTTAAGCAAAGATAACCCGTACATTCTCTTTAAGAATTATTCAACTGTTATAGATAATAAAAATATGAAGCTCTATTCTATTCTTCATTCAGCAGTAAGTCTTCCAATATCTTATTCAGAGAAAATTCAGTTTCAATTCCAATTTAACTAAATTAAATTTTATTGTTTAATATTGAATGCTGCTGCATTTTGCTGACTGAGTAAGATATAAGCAAAAGTACTGCATGTTTGTAGTAAAATTATTGATAATCCACTTCATGTTCATGTTTTTATAATTGAATCCTGTATTATTTTTGATTCAATATAGAATTTATGGTAGATCTAGGCACAAAAAATCGAATAAATGTTAAAAATTTTGATTAAAAATATTATAATATAAATTAAATTAATACTAGAATAATTAAAATGCCTTACAGGATTATCCCTAACAAAAAAAAAAAAAAACAAAAAATCAAGTAAATATAACGGTTTTTGGCTTACATATGGTACGTTTTTCTTTTCCATTTACCCTCTACAGATGCAAAGATGTAACTAAACTTTAAAACTTTTAATTGAGTTATATTATATGGGGATCAATATAACCGCAGTGAAAATAAAACTTTTACAAGGTCGGGTGGGAGTAAAAAGGTTGGTTTGTGCAAAAAAAAAAAGGCTAAAAATGATGTGAAAATGTTTGCGTTTTGTAGGTTAAGAGAGAGAAAGTAAAAAAAAAGTAAAAAACATTTCTAAATTTCAAATAGATCAAAACATTTTTAACTTTTTTATTTAATTTTTATTTTTTCTGTAAATAATAATTGAAGCTACAAACTGTTTTTAACCAAAAAAATAAAGAAACTAAGTGAAAGAGAAAAAGATTTACAATTTTTATTTAATTAAGACTTTTAAATTTTTCAAACATATTGTTATATAAAATGTTCTAAAACGTTTTATATGTAACGCTGTGCCAGTTATATATCCTCTTCCAGTATAGACAAAATTTCAATACTAATTAAGCGATACCTTTTATCTTCTTTATTTTGCTTTTTCTAATGATATATCGCATTTCAATATAACTCAAAATATACTTTTTGTTTTTCTCGTTTTGTTTTTTTTTTATTATTTAAATCACACATGTTGGCTTAAGCCGTCGTACTAAGAGTTATGTTACATAACTAATAAAAATAGAATCTAATATTACAAACATTTAATATAGTTTTTTTTGTTTCTTGTATAAAATTTATGCATTGAAATTATCGCTTAATAAACTATTCCGTGTGAAAATATTTCTAAAAAAAATAAAAATCTAATAATTTCGTGTGAAAATATTTCTAAAAAAATAAAAATCTAAAAAATAATTCTTTTCAGCAAATTGGTTTCCTAATGTAAAATAAAAAAAGAAAAAAGTAAAAACAAATTTTGTTTTTAAATATTTTTTGTAAAAGCAAGGAAAAATTATAACTTGGTTTAATTTTTCCTTTCTTAAAAATAGTGAGTCGAAAATTGATTGTCAAAGAATTAAGTTTGAATAAAAAAGTTTTTTTATTAAGCGAGAGAAAAAAAAAAGAATATTAAATAATTTTTGAAAAAGTGGATATATAATTAAATTAAGTTTTATGTTTTTGTAATAATTAAAAAAAAAAGAAATTAATAAATAAAAATAAAAAAAAAAAATATAACAATTAATATTAAAATTGTTTTAATTAATCGAAGAAAAAGGAAATTAATTAATAAAAGGTAACAGGAACTTTTTTGTGATTTGTTAAAATAACAAATAATACAAAAGTGGCGCAGTCGGTAGGATACCGACACTGCTCCATATAATAAAACAAAAATAACAAATCGAAATACAGTTAAAAATAAAAAATAAAAAAATAAAAAACAGTTCGCGAAAACAATATTTTATTAACTTTGGAAAAAAAAATAAATAAAATAAATAAGTAGTGAATTACAAAAAAACAATCATTTTACTATACTGTATTCGAGTTATTATCATTATTATAAAAAGTGAACAGTGTTACTTTCAAGTATTTATCGGTAAAAAGAAATAAATAACCTGTTACTTATACTTAATGAGCGATTCTGATTTAGACGGAATTACATTAACACTTCAAAATATAAAAATACAAAATAATAATCATAAAATGGTACTCTCAGGCTTTACCTTAAGTGATGTGGTAAGGGAAGCCAGAAGTGTCCCAGAATTCACCGGTACTGGACACTACGAGGTATCCAGTTTCATCAACGAAGTGGAGTCTTTAACAGCGATGTTAACCGACGCAGAACACAAAAAATATGTACTGAGGATATTGCTCGGAAAAATCCAAGGGCAAGCGGCGATATCCATTAGGAGACTCAACGAGGCAACATGGGAACAAATAAAAGCACAGCTCATCAAATCATTTGGGGTACAAGAAACATACCTAAAATTGAAAGAAGAAGCAGAAAAAGTCCAATTCCGAACGGTAAGCCAAATTTATCACGATCTTAGTAATATATTAGACAAACTAAATTATAAGTACCAATTAGATACTCTAAAACCTATTGATTACAAACCGACGTGTAATGAAAGTAGTATATTGGAGAAATTCCTTTCAAAAATAAATAGGAATGACTCTATTTATTTAAGAACAAAAAATGTTAAAAGCTTGGAAGAAGCTTATAACGAATTATTACAAACCGGAATTACGGTTAGTCGTAATAATTCCAGTGTAAATGCTAGGTCAACTCGTTCCAATAGCAATTTTCAAAATAGTAATTACAGTCGCGGTAACAATTATAACAATAATAATAATTTTCATAATAATAGTAACAGCTTTCAAAATAATAACCGCGATAGATATAACAATTATGATTGCCATGGTTATCGCAGCCAATTCTCTAATAATAATAATAACGACCGTGGTAATCGTAGCCAAAATAATAGAAATTTTTTTTCAAATAATAACCAAATTAATAGAAATTTTTTTTCGAATAATAGCCGAAATTCTCAAAATTTTTTTCCAAATGACACAAATACAAATAGAAATACTAATTTTGATAATAATAGAGCGCGAAATAGTAATCGAAATTATGAACCAATGGAGGTCGATTATAATACAACCAACCACAATAATAACTCAAGCCGACGTAATAATAATACAGAAAACTCGCGTAACATAGAAAATTTTCGAACTTCACGCCTCACCACCAATTACCTATAGCAGAACTTACCATAGAAAATATGAAAATCAATTGTCTTATAGATACTGGTGCTGCTACGTCAATAATAAATCCAAATATTTTTCCAGTAGAAAGGCAATCGCAATTAAAAACGCCCATTTATTTAGCTACCTTAATGGGACATAGAATTATACGGCGTGAAATTATCACGAAAACTCCTTCCGAATTTAACGAAAATACAACGATGAGTTGGAAAGTTTTTAATTTAAAGAATAAAAATTTCGACGCCATTTTAGGCCAAAATGTGCTTACACCAATTGGTGCCAGGATCGATTTATTAGAAAATGCGATCGAAGTTAATGGTATTAAAACCAAATTTAAATATGCTTGCCCATATAGTGAAGTTTTCCAATTAGAAATTTTAAATATGAACCATTGTGATTTATTTGAAAATTTAAGAACTGAACATATGAACACTGAAGAATGTAAAATTTTAAAAGGGATATTATCAAAAAACAATGATTTATTTTATAAAGAGGGAGATACTCTTACACATATAAACGAAGTAAAACACCAAATTATAACAAAACATTCACGACCAATATATTCGAAAACATATCGTTTTCCTAAAATACATGAAATTGAAGTAGAGAGACAAGTAAAAGAAATGATCACTCAAGGTATAGTCCAACCTAGTAATTCCGCATATAACTCTCCGATCTGGGTGGTTCCAAAGAAGATGGATAACTCAGGTAAACCTAAGTGGAGAATCGTAGTCGATTATAGGAAATTGAACGAAATTACAATGGACGACAAATTTCCTATTCCGAATATGGACTCCCTTTTTGACAAGTTGGGTAGAGCTCAATACTTTACCACTTTGGACTTGGCGAAAGGGTTCCACCAAATTTTGGTAGATGAAAAGGATAGGTGTAAAACGGCATTTTCGACCCCCCAGGGTCACTACGAATTTCTTCGTATGCCCTTTGGGCTGAAAAATGCCCCCGCTACCTTCCAACGCGTCATGAACCATGTTTTAAGAGATTTAATAAATAAAATTTGCGTCGTTTACCTGGATGACATATTGATTTTTTCGACTTCTCTACAGGAACATTTGGAAGCAATAAACATTATATTTAAACGACTTAGACAGTACAATTTAAAAATACAGATTGACAAATGCAATTTCTTTTCAAAAAATACTGAGTATTTAGGTCATACCCTCACGCCTGATGGTATAAAGCCTAATGACAATAAGGTGAGGGTTATCAAAGAACTCAAACTACCTACGACTAGAAAACAGATAAAAAGTTTCCTTGGCATTACGGGGTACTACCGCAAATTCATAAAAGATTACGCTGCGGTAGCTAAGCCCATGACTAATTATTTGAAAAAAGATAAAAAAATTGACATTCATAACCAAAATTACGTTTTGTCTTTTGAGAAATTAAAAGAACTTATAACGAATTATCCGACTTTAAGGTATCCAGATTTTAAAAAACAATTTATACTAACAACAGATGCTTCAAACTTTGCAATTGGTGCCGTCTTGTCACAAGATGGACACCCAATTTGCTTTGCAAGTCGAACTCTTAACGAGCATGAAACTCGTTATTCTGCGATAGAAAGAGAACTTCTCGCAATCGTTTGGGCAACCAAATACTTTCGCCCATACTTATATGGCACTAAATTTATTATTAGAACGGACCATCAACCACTTGCGTGGTTACATTCACTCAAGGAACCCAATTCCAAATTACAACGTTGGAAAATCAGGTTAAATGAATATGAGTTCGACATAGAATATTTAAGAGGCAAAGAGAATAGGGTTGCTGATTTTCTCAGCAGAATAAATACAAATAAACAAGAAATAAATCTAAATGACATATCTGAAAATGTAAATAGGGAAAACGACACTGACATGGCTACAATTCATAGTGGGGTCGAAGATTTGCACGACCACATCCCGATCGTAGACCATATAGTTAATACATACCTTACACAGATTCACATCGTTCCTCAAAGGGAACGTGAAACAGAGAGATTATATGGCAAATATAAATTAATATATATATCAGAAAATGAATTAAACGACAATAATTACTTGAACGACCTATTACGTCGTGTTATAAAAAAGGGAAAAATTGGTATTTTTTCAAAATTGGGTGACGAAAAATATAATATACTACAACAAAAATTAATCGAGCTATTTGGAAATAATAATAATATAAAATTCTATAAATGTTCAACTCAAGCAGAAAATATTCCCAACGAAAATAAAGCAATAGAAATAATAGAAAAAATTCACAACGACTCGAACCACCGGGGTATAATTGAAAATTTCAATCAAATTAGAAAAAGGTGGTTCTTCCCAAAAATTAAGGAAATAATCCATAAATTTATAAACAATTGCAATATGTGCAATAAAGCAAAATATGATCGCCACCCACAAAAAACTAAACTACAAATAAGTGAAACTCCTGACGAACCTAATGACATTGTTTGCGGCGATGTGTTTTATTGCTACAAACTGACCTTTTTGACAACTTTCGACAAATTTTCGAAGCACTTAATGGTTCAACATTTACCTGACAGAAATGCTTTAACTATTATAGATCTTTTTAGAACTAGATTTGCTATATTAGGAAAACCCAATAAACTTGTACTAGATAACGAATTTAATAGCCTTAATATGAGAGATTTTTGTAGGGAAGAAAATATCGAAGTTCATTTCACATCACCTAGATCCCACACGGGCAACTCTGACATAGAGAGAGTTCATGGAACTCTTAACGAACATCTTAGAATATTTGAAACAACAAAATGCAAACTAAATACTATTCAAAGGGTTTTTCTTGCGGTGGAAAAATATAATAACTCAATCCACTCGACAATTGAAGTTAGACCACTTGATATTCTAAACGGTAAAGTTTCAAACCTAGAGCAAATTAGAAATTTAATTCATAGAAAAAAAATAATTAATATAAATAGACTGAACATTAATAGAAGTGAATTCAAGCCAGAAGACTCTGGTAAAATTTTAGTTAAGAACCCTGAAACAGAAAGATACAAAACCGCCCCAAGGTATATTCAGATCGAAAGCCGACGGGAACACAATAAATTAATAGATAATAATAATCGTAATATTCATCCTTCTAGAATTAAAAGGAAATTTAAATTCATTTCAGGTCAAAATTAACAACGACTTAGAAAATAACTTGAATACCCTTCAAAAACAAGTGTCAGATGATAAAATTTTTACTGAAAAGCTCTTTATACTGTGACAGATAAAAACCGCCAATATATTAAACAAATTCGATTCTTACAAATCTTAAATAGTATTAGTATTCTAAATCAAGAAATTAATAAAATACAAGGTAACCTAGCATTCGCGAAACACGGAATTATGACTAATTCGATACTAACATCAGATGAAATAGAACGTTATGAAATAGACTCATTTAAATATCAAGAGATTAAAAGTTCAATATTTCAAAAGGATGAGAAACTAATTTTCGTTATCTCAATCCCAAATTTATCTGACCAATTAGCACAAAAAATTAAAATTTTACAAATACCTAACGATAAATTTGAAGAAATTTCTCTAATGAATTCGAATTTCATTACACACAAAAATAAAACTTTTATCGATGAAAATAATTTGTACGTAAAAAATTTAAAAATTGCTGACAAATGTATTCAAAATTTAGTTAAAAATAATGTTAACAAATGTACTAAAGAAATTGAAAAAAATTTAAAAATTATCGAAATATCCTCAAACAATATATTAGTAAAAAACGCAGAAAACCTAATATTAAAAACCTCTGTTAATAATATTACTTATATTTTAAACAAAAATTATCTAATTACATTTAGTAACTGTTCTATTGAATTAAATAATATTGTATTTACAAATAAAGAAAATTATATATTTGAACATATCATGTTACCAAACTATTTAAATATAGATCATATAGAATTAAAAGCAAACTTAAATGATGTCCACTTAAAACAAATTGAAAACATAAAAAAAATTGAAGAAATAAAAATGTCATTTGAAAATAATAACAAAATTTTATATATACTAATTGTATATATACCAATTTTATATTTTGTAAAACAAAGGAAATCAAAATGCATTAAATTAAAAGTTCAAGAAAATGCTGTGGGATTAAATATTAACCAATTACCAACCACATCAAGAAAAAGTGATGTCCAGGAGGACATCAAGCTTAAGGAGGGGGGAGTTATATATCCTCTTCCAGTATAGACAAAATTTCAATACTAATTAAGCGATACCTTTTATCTTCTTTATTTTGCTTTTTCTAATGATATATCGCATTTCAATATAACTCAAAATATACTTTTTGTTTTTCTCGTTTTGTTTTTTTTTTATTATTTAAATCACACATGTTGGCTTAAGCCGTCGTACTAAGAGTTATGTTACATAACTAATAAAAATAGAATCTAATATTACAAACATTTAATATAGTTTTTTTTGTTTCTTGTATAAAATTTATGCATTGAAATTATCGCTTAATAAACTATTCCGTGTGAAAATATTTCTAAAAAAAATAAAAATCTAATAATTTCGTGTGAAAATATTTCTAAAAAAATAAAAATCTAAAAAATAATTCTTTTCAGCAAATTGGTTTCCTAATGTAAAATAAAAAAAGAAAAAAGTAAAAACAAATTTTGTTTTTAAATATTTTTTGTAAAAGCAAGGAAAAATTATAACTTGGTTTAATTTTTCCTTTCTTAAAAATAGTGAGTCGAAAATTGATTGTCAAAGAATTAAGTTTGAATAAAAAAGTTTTTTTATTAAGCGAGAGAAAAAAAAAAGAATATTAAATAATTTTTGAAAAAGTGGATATATAATTAAATTAAGTTTTATGTTTTTGTAATAATTAAAAAAAAAAGAAATTAATAAATAAAAATAAAAAAAAAAAATATAACAATTAATATTAAAATTGTTTTAATTAATCGAAGAAAAAGGAAATTAATTAATAAAAGGTAACAGGAACTTTTTTGTGATTTGTTAAAATAACAAATAATACAAAAGTTGCCTTTTAAATTTTGATCAATTTTTTTCAATTTTCGTAAAAGACTTTAACTTTGGAAAACTATTAGTTGTGGGACTTGTAAACTGGGCGCATCGCAGAAATTGGCGCATAATTTCACGTATGATTCTTTGATCAATTTCCAGAAAATCAATTATTTGTAAAACAAGAACCAGATGGTTACTCTTCATTGTATGGTTCCGAAGTTATAAGCATGAGCTTTTTAAATGATCATTTTGTCATTTGAAAAAATCGTGTTATTCTAATTAATAATTTTGATAATAGTTTTGCAAATAAAGAAAATATTATAGAAATTGTTCTTGAAATAGTAAAAGTTTTCTTTTATAATTTCAAAAATTTTCGTTTTTATTTCCGAATTTAATTAAATTAATTAATTTCATTTGGCGAACTCACTTTGGACATTTCCTAAAACTTAGTAGTATAATTAAATTGGTTGAGGATTTCAAAAGACAAAGAAAACGTGTCTTATATAAAAATGTTTTAAGTAGCTATAGGTAATAATTTACTTAAAATTATTTAAATAAAATAATAATTGCCAAAAATGTAAAATAATCTTATATCCGCAGCATCTTTATTACGTGTAGAACTAAATTAATATATTTGTTCAAGAACTAAGAGTATATAATAAAATTAATATCCCGGATCATTCATCTAATTTATAAATCAAAATATTATTTGTAATACTATGATTAAAATTTATTATATTTTATTCGGCAATACTAAAATTTTTCGGAAATTCTTTAATATTGAAATTTATTTTGTTTAAAAACTATAAAACATTTTCTAATTTTCTCGAGATCTATGAATAAAATTTTTAATTTTAGAAGTTTTATTCGTCCTATAATACACATTTTCTTCATTTATGAATATATTTATAAATAAATAAATACATGAGTATGTTTTTGTTCTTTACACATATTTACATATATTTTTTTCAAAATGCCCATTCTTTTCATCTTCGCATGCAATATTGGTATACATATAATAGTTATCATGCTGCAATACAAAATCAATTCATCTTAATTGGAAATATCTCCAGAAATGTTATAAGAGTTTATGGTACTTCAATAAACTAAAAATAAAAAATATAAAAAAAATGTTTAAAAAGAAATTCATAAAATTTAAATTAATAAATGAAATTATATTTTCAGTTCATTGAATATTCAAGAGTGTAATAAAATCATAAAAACAAAAAAAAAAACAAATAGGAAAAATATTCAAGTATGAAAACAAATTTTTCACTTCGAAAAATTGAAATGAATTCATCACGCATACACCTACACATTAACTCACACACACACACACACATATATATTCTCTCTTAGCACATTCAATTCAAAAATATTATATTTTTCCAATAGCTTTTCAACACAAAAACAAAAAAACGAAAAGAAAAAAAAATTTTCCTTTTATGCATGTATCCTTTCCTGTTTCTGAATTTGATGAGCTGAAAACCTTAAATAATAATTTTGAATTGAATTGAATGATTGATTTGAAGTGTAAAATAAAAAATTGGCTATAAGCATCGATTTTTTTTTTCAATGAACGCTTCCTTCAATTGGATCTTCACTCTTTGTTCTGCATTATTATTTTATATACCATTATAAAATAATATTTTTGTGGTATTTTTTATGTTTTTTGTTTTTGTGAAAATAATAAAATAAAATATTTGTTCACTTTATTTTGGCCTGAATAAGTGTAAAAAGTTGAACTAAAATTAAACAAAAATCACAATAAAAAAATAATCTAAAAATAGAGTAAAATCTTGAGTGTGTATTCGCTAATAAATTTCTTCCGTAATAGTGTGGTATTTGGGTAGCTTCTTCCAACTTCTAAGTTTCCAAAATAAATTATATACAATAGTGAATAAATATGAATATATGTTTGTGTGTATAACGAATGAAAAAAATAATATTTTCAATAATAAAATAGTTTTTCGCCGTAATATAGGGAATATAAAAGATAGGGTGACTTAGCAGGATGAGCCTATGAGAGATACATATAAATATAAACCAAAATGAATTTGAAGGCTTACAATTTGCTTTATTTTTTTTTAGTATTGCAGCAGTTGGATATTTGGAGGAACTTTTTTTGGTATTATCTTTTATAATTACGATTATATTTACGATCTTACTACGTTATCTCTAAATTAGTTTAACATTCAATTACTAATTTAAAATTTTAAGATTTCATATTTAAATTAAAAAATTTGTACTGGATTAAATTAAAAAATTTGTACTAATAATAGATTTCTTATAGCACTATACCCTAAGCCAAACAATATTTTGCAATTGTCAAGGTCTGATATTATAAAAGGTAGGCAAAATTAAATATTGGAAGGTTTTTCACTATTTCAGTTGTTCATGTTTTAATTGTTAATACTTGGCTAGTGATTCGTTACTATTGTCAACGTCATATCGGCTGTTTGTTTGGAATAAATACATTTGTTCCAAAAATTTTAATATTTAATAAATATTAATGAAGAACGCATCTAGTGAGCTTTTAATTTCATATATTGTAAGCATAAAACTAACCGCAAAAATCGTAGCATTTGATGTATCTATATTAATTTTTTTGTGAACACTTGAAATTCAATCAAGATTATTTCGAGAATTTAACATAGATCACAGCTTTTGGAAAATAATATTGAATGTGCAGATTTATATTGAACGGAAAAGTGCTTTTATATTGGCCATTTCGAAATTGTCTCGTATAAGACATAGTTCTGGTGTTAATATTAATGAATGAACAGATAAACGCTTAAAAATTAGTTTTTAATATTTAATTTATTTGTACTCTCAATTTACTCAAAATATTTTTGCTTTGAATTTGCAATGGGAGTTTTAAAGTGTGGTAATATTTTTACATTTTAAAATTTTTACGTAAATTATTACGTATGTGTGCATGTAAGTGACTCAAATTAACATCAATTTGGTCCAATCATATTGCAGAATTCTTATGTAACTGTATAAATACTTTTTTCATTTCAATTTTATTACTTTTTATTGATGCAAAAACAATTGTAAAACATTTTATGATAAATGAAAAAATTTGCTTTTTATTTTTTAATTTACATACATACAAACATATACCTACATATTTTAATTAAATAAACTGAATCATATGGAAAGTATTTTAAATAAATTAATTAAATATATTCATTTTTTTTCAATATTAATTTAAGTACGAATATCAGAAGTTCATAATATATTTAATTACTATATACTTAATTGAAAATTGTATTATAATCATATTATATTTATTTTAATTATAAAATGAAATTTAATTAATATTTAACTATAAGAATTGTGCAAAAAAAAAATTTAATAATACAATTTAATGATTTATTATTGGAAATATTTAAATAAAGAAAATTTTGGTTTGTTATAGGTGGTAATTTTTTGAATAATTTTATAAAATTTAATTCTTCGTAAACATTTAGTTGGAATTTGTGTTTTAAGTAAATGATTTAAGGAAACTGTCTCGAGGCCACTTGAATTTCTTATAAATAAAAAATAATAAAATTCAAGAATATCAAAATAAAAAGTATATGATATTTGTTGACAATATGAAATTATTGACATTTATGAAAATCTTTCCAATTTTTGTAAATTTTGCGTTTGTTTACTTTTTGCAAAAATTTTTTGAAAAAAAAAAAATGCTTATTCCTTTCACTCTGTCCGTCTGTCGGTCTATGGACGTGTTTACAAAACTTCTACACACTTGAAGATAGAAAGCTGAAATTTTATACGTATTCTGTAGAAGAAAATTTTTACCTATCTCACTACCTATTTCACCTATCTCTCAAATTTTTACCCCACCCTCTCTAGAAGTTATGCCCATCCAAAACCCTAAAAATTCCATTTTTTAACTATTTATTGCAGTGAAACCATAAGCATTTTTCAAGTTTTGCAAACGCAGAAAGGCAGTGGCTTGCTTCTCCTGTCGCGGCATACTATGGTAAAACTTAAAAAAAAAAACAAAATGGCCGTTCAAATTTACCGTTATCTAAAATTGTTTTTTTTCAAATTTTTGGTGTCTTTTTTTCTTTCAGACCCCAGTTTGTAGGTGCCTGAAATTTTAGCAGCTTTTAGACACTAATGAAGTTTTCCTGTTTCCATTTCAAACATTTGTTAAGTTAAAATTTAAAAGGGGAACCACAATATTACAATAAAATTAATAAAACAATTTATAAAAATCATTTCAAATTTACCGATTCTAGACTTAGTATAAGCTCATAGTAATTTTATTTATTATAGCAGTTTAAGCAGATTTATTTGTATGTGTCATTAACTCATAAAAATGATAAATGTAATGGAATAAACTAATAAAATGATAATCGACTTCATATGCATAAAATTAATAATAAAGAGATTAGACCGAATTAAATCAATAATATTAATATTGACGTTGTTTTTTTCATGGTTCAATTAATATTGATTTTTTTTTATGAATGCAGTTTGTGCTAGAGCTGTAGTATGCTGTATGAAAGAAAGAGATTAAAATTTTAATGAAGTATAGTAGATTGTTTTCTTCCGAAGTATAATATTGAAATAAGTACAGTCTGAATGAAAATATTTGGTATAAATTACTATAATCAATTTTGTAATGCAAAGTCATAACATTCTGTTTTTTTTGTAATTTGAAGTAAGATTATTTAACGATATATTATACATAAATATGAACTTAAGAATCAAGTACATAATCCCTATGGAAATATGTACAACCCATTTATCAAGATGAAAACTTTTATCAAGCCAAAGTCTAAAAAATGTCAGTTTTTGTAAACGCAATGCGTATGGAAACAAAAAAATATTTTAGTTTTAGAAATGCGAAAGAGATCGATATAACATGTAAACGTCACTCTCGCAAAACGGCATTGAAAATTTATTTCTCCGGCCTTAATTTCTTTGAAACTTATTCTTTCAGTTCTTCTTTCAGGACAGACCCAGTGTACATAATATTTTCTTAATAATTATTATGTGACTACTTTCTATTATTTGTTCTCCTTCTAAAAGTATGCAAGAATAGGATCTATGTCAACTCTAAAAAGTATCGCAAATCGAATATCTCAATCTACCTGCTTAAGAACAAGTTATCAAGTGCAAATGTACTTGCAAATAAAATTATATTTGAACCCAATTATCAAATTATTTTAACTACATTGCCTCAAAGTTCAAAATATATATTTGTTTTTTTTTTTTTTTTATTCTTTTAATTAATTAATCCATTTATTTATGTTATTAACTTTAAATTAGTCATTTTTAATTGTTATCTTTAATATTAATCAAAACCAATGATCAGAAAAGCAATATACAAACAGTTAAGAATTAAAATAAAAAAAAAATTTAATTTTTAACGATATAACAATGGTAATAATGACAGCAAAATAATAATAATAAAAAAAAGACAAGAAAAAATAAATAATGAAATAATCACAAAGCGCAATATACATGCTTCTATACATACCGTTGTTTTCTGATTAATCTAAATAGGTATGTAGATGACGTTGTATATGTATAATAAAGAAAAATAATACTAAATTAAATCAATTTAAATTTAGAATAAATAAGTACATTTACATATATACATACATACTGTGGGTACGTATGTACTTCCATGGAAGTAGTACTAGCAATAATGTATGTGAAGTATCCACATATAATTCAAATTATTATATGGACATACACGTACATACTCACCTCGTACAATGTACATAAGTTAATATGTTTATAATCCGCATCTCATTCATTCGATTATTATGAATAATATGAGCTCAATGAAAAATATAAAATCATAATAAAATTCATCATAGCTATTTTAGAATTCAGTTAAATTCAGTCATAGCATCGGTGTGCATTAATTATTATTTAAAAAAAAAAAAAATTTTCTTTTATTTTCTTCAATATCGCAAAAAAATTTTTTTCCAAGAAAATCAAAATCGTACACACATATACATTAAATAATTATTAACAGTTTTAAGTAACTCTAATTAATTTGATTATTTAATTACCAAAAAAAAAAAAAAATAATAAATACAGACATGTTAAAAAAAATACTGTTAATTATAACTATAATTATGACAATTTTAACAGTTGTCAATTGTAGTTGCGATGATTCTCTAGTAGATGGTGTTATTAAAAAAGCAACAGAAAGTTCAGAAGAAAGTGAAATTGGAAAATTTTTCAAAAATGTTGGCTGTTCAATACAAAATGGAGCAAAAAAACTTGGTGAAAATGCAAAAAAAGTTGGTGAATCAATTAAAGAGGGTGCAAAAAATTTTGGTGAAAAAACAAAACAATTTGGTCGGGATATTAAAGAAAAATTTAGTGAATTCAAAGATAAATGGAATAATGATGACGAAGATGGTAATAAAGAACCAATAACATCAGAAACGGTGAAAAAAATAGAAAATGATGCTGAAAGAATTTTTCAAATTGATGAAAGATTTTTATATGTGCCATTAGAATGCCCAGAGGGACAAAAATTAACAAGTAATGGAAAATGTGAAACAGTTAAAAAATAAAATTTGAAAAATAATTTTTTTTTTTTTAATTAAATTCAATAATATTTCTCAAATTTGTTTTTAATATTTTCATTGAGAATTTATGAAATATAAAATATTTTTTTTTATCGATTATAATAAAAATTGTAAGGACTCGACGCGGAAAATAAGTATTAATGTGTAAATATAAAAAAAGTGAAATTTTTAATATTAAAATATTTGTATTTTTGGAATTTCTAAAAATTTTGTTTATTTTTATTTATTTAATGTGGAGGCTATTTGCCCTAGTAAAATTTTATAAATAATTGCGTTAGAATGGGTTAGATGTTTGAAAGATCACCCCTATAATTGAAAGTTTAAATAAAAATTGAATAACAAAATCTGGATACTTGATTGCTCCTTCTTGTATGATTGTTACTCGTATTATTAAAGTAATACAATTATTATTAAAACAAAAGTGCAAATATACACTTAAACAATTTTTGTTCAATTAAATTCAATTTATTGATTCAAAAATTAATTTTTCTATTTTCGCATGACCTGAACTCTTAAATTTTTTAAGTTATCATAGGCTCAAAATAAGCATCACAAAATTTAAATTAATTTTTTTTGTTATTATTAAAAATTTCTTAGGTTAAAGTTTGACAAAATCAATTTCTTTAAAATTTTTTTTTTTTATTATACTCAATCAAATAAAAAATTATTATATTGTACCTCAAATTAGAATAAAATGTTTATTTTATTAAGTTAATCTTTAATTTCTGGTTTTGCTTATTTAGCTATGCGCTCAGTTACTGCATACAGGGTGTTGTTGTAAGATTGAAATATTCATTGAAAATTTTAAGTTTCATGCTGCTTATATTGTAATACAGTTTTTAAATTCAAGTTAAAGTTTTGTTGAAGCCTAAACTTCTAAATGAGTTTAAGAATCGCATTCTTTTACTGTACTATGAAATGAAAATTTAAATATACATAAAAATATGAATGAAATAATTAATTTAGAAGTTCATAATTAAACAACTAATTAAAAATATTATAACAAAATGCTTCTATTTAGTGAGTTTTATGAGTTTTAGAGAATTTAATGGTTGACATAAGAGAAATTTAAATTATTTTGAAAATAAATACAGAATAATTTTTTCAGCACTCATCATACTCAAAATTGAATTTCATACAAATTTATAATTGTAATTCAGGCTGTATTTGAATTATTGTTCGTATAAAGTAATTTGTTTTAATTTAAATAATAGAAAATAGAGAATATTTTCACAAATTGAATAGTTGCTTTTTTTTTTTTAAGTAGAATAAAAATTATTCGCAATATTTTTGTTATATGTATAATAGAAATATTTTTGATTGTCATGATAGTGATAATGTTGAGTCAGTAAATCAAAAAATAATTTTCAAACTAATCTTAAAGAATTTAATTTTTTTATCACCTCAGTAAATGTGAACTTACTTTAAGAGTTAAAATTACTAATGGTTGGTTTATTTGCCATAAGCGAAGAAGTTTTTTTGATAATTAAAGGTTTAGTTTTTATTAATTTTTTAAATGAGCATAGTCGGAATGTAACGAATTCAATGCAATTATTTTGCCCTCTTTATTATAATTGAATTATTTCATTTTTAAGTATAAGCTGCAGCAGAAATAAATTATCAGAAAAAATATTGACTAAAGTATTGAATATTTTTCTAAACTTAATATATATAAATTTACAATTATGCTTGCTTCATAAGAGACATGTGGTCCAAAAAAATAAATATTATTGTGCAATATTTAAATATATACATTCTCACATTTTGTATGTGTAAAAATTTAATTCATGTATGTCTATTAGTAAATTATAAATTGTATATTTATGATTTTCTATAGGCAAAATCGAAATTATTAGTAATTAGTATAGTAGTAATAAGTAGTATTCGTTTATATTATTTCTGTTACGACAGGATAAAAGGAGATATGTAGTTAGCGCTATGTGTACGACAGTTGTGTGAAAATTTATTGCAACCATGCACGTAAGTGTTGTGTAACATTTATCGGATTTTTACTGTATTATATTACGACTTTCAATTTTTTCTTATCAATTTCATTCAACTATGAATTTATTTCAGTTTTACCAATCATTTACAATACACATTGTAACAATAAAATATTGTGAATCATTGATTAAAGTGTCGAAAATTTTTAAGTATAGAAAATAAATATCACTTTGATTGAAATATATTTATTTTGACCTTCAAAATTGTTACACATATTTACAATTATTATTAATATTAATAATAAGCAAACAATGAAAATGAAGTGACGATGAAAATATTTTATAAAAAAAAAATTTTTTTTTTTATTCTAAAATTCCAACTTCACTTATTATTTTGTTTACATTTGAACAAATTTCAGCAAATAATTCAATAGAACATTTTAACGCAATTATTTACAAAAAAAAAAAAAATCTGACCCAAGATTGAATAAAAATCTTTTATTAGAATTGCTATATGTGAACTTGTCATTTTATTATAGGTAAACCAATATGTACATATATAATTTGTTTGTGCGTAAGTATACATTATATGTTTATTTGTTAAGAGTACATTAAACAACACATACATACATGTATTATTATAATTATACCGTCTAGCATGTTTGGTTGTATATTATACCAATGATCTCTTATTTTATTTTTTATTTCGAATTTCAGAAAGCTCTATTATTAATCATTTAAGAAATCTCGTATACACTTACTACATGTTATACATGTTTTATTTGTTATAGAGCACAGATCATAAGTTTATCTCAAATTTTCTTAGATGTTCAAGAGACTTATGATAACGTTTATGATACTCTCTTATTGTAACAAAATTGATTATTTTACTATTAATAATATACTGCTACTGCACCTCCGTATAAAGAAAGAAGTTTGTCTTCTTTATATTTCGAGGGCAGGGCATAGCAAAAGTTTGTAATCCAATCCTTGGAATGACCATATTGAACTCCTGTCTACCACGGTATAACTTTGATTCTAGATACAGGTTACTGTTTTATGATCGTTGCATAAGGGAGGGGGGGGGGGGGAAAAGAGGAGGCGGGATTGCCCAGTTTTTATTTGGGATCAAGCTTATGGTATTCTGATGGATTCAGAACGGTGTCAATTTTATATATACGATGACCGTTGTATTGCTCATAGGGTTTTTCTGATATTTCGCATCAGGCTATATTTGAGTTAATCGGTACTTGTGTCCAGTTAAAGCGAATACGGGCACATCAAAGTTTCTGATGGGCTAATGCGGAAAAGGTCTGAGATTGATTCCCGTTCAGATAAGTAACGAGTTTTTTTACTACGTCCTATTCAGGAAAGTACACTTGCACAATTCAGAAAACATGTATTCATGTGGCTAACAAAATGCCCTAAAGTGGTGGTCAGTTTTTACATATCACGCTTAGGATATATAATTTTGGTACAAATTATTCTAATTAATTTCAATTATATTCAAACTAATGACTATTCTGACTATTTTGTTAATTATACTATACTGATACTGTAATGATATAATTAATTTACGCTTGCTTATTAAAATGTATTCACAATATAGAACTCTGAATTTTAAGAATATAGAATTTTTAACTCAATGTTGTTAAAATAATTTGTTAAATATATTTAGTTAAAATTACTATTCAGTGAAAGTATACAGGAGGACCGAGATGGAATGTTACCGCGGAAATACGAATCTAGATCAACGAAATGTAATATATGAAATTTTCTTTCAGGTTTTTGTTTTATAAAAATTTTTTTCGTGAGATTATTGCAATATATTTAGTTGACATGACTGCCACATTTTTTAACAAAAGTTCAGAATATCAACTTTCTTGGCTCGCCATAGTATTGTCATATTCTCAGTGTACCATAAAGTCTAGAACACTCTATGTGTATTGACTTCTGCACAAATTATTTACTTCAACTTCTAATTTGAATAACAAATAAAGTTATTCACATTATTCTTAAAAAAAAAAAGAACAGACCATTAATGATATACAATTTCTTTTTGTACAATGGGGTTACGGACCATGACGATAACACCACATAACTCAATAAAAAAAAAACAAATTTTGGCATTTCAATTTTCATGTTATTGTTTCGCATTTAATACAAGCTCATTTGCTTGTGCATAGCATTCTAAAATAACAATTGAACTCTGTATGAGAGATGCCTTAATAATATAGGGGAACCTTTATTAGTGAAATTATTTTCTCTAATATTAAAAAATCTTCAGGAAATGAGTTTTGTTGAAATTTAGATTGTGGAAACTTTGCTCTCTTATTGTCTCAGTTGATAGCATATTTATGTCAGTTTTATGACAACAATGGGGAAAATAGCTACGAGAGATTTGGCGTTGCACTCGGCCCCGAAACCGTTTATCCAATCTTGATTCCTAGAATTTTTTTATCCCAAGTCTCAGCTGTCTTTCTTAACATGTTTTTGTCAAATATTTTTCCATTATAGAATCTTATAATTGTTATGAACAACTTCTATTTCAATTTAATATTATTTATTTTTCTTCCTTCATAGTTTAATTCTATCACTTCTGTATATCAATTTTGTACCCCTCCTTCAATTGAAAACTACGTAAGTTTATTCAACAAAAAATTGCGAATATTATTTTTTCCCATTAAATTTCATTTGATATTTTTTTTTTAGTTTAGTTGAAATTTTTCATTTAAAATAAGAAGTTGTGAAAAAGATTTTTTTACCGAATAACGTTGACGATTATTTAAAACGAGATTTTCATCATTTGTAATCACTTAATATTACACAATCAAGTATAATAAACGCGTAATTTTTCAATAATTACAGAAAAGAAAGAGAAAAATTAAACCAGTTTAATTAAAAAAAAAACAAAAAAAAAAACAAAAAATGCATAATTATAAGATTTTATTATTCACGGTCATTTTGACCATAACATTTACAACAATTTCTGGCGGTGCATTATGTAGAGCAGCCGAAAATAAATCAAGTGATGAAAGTAGTGAAGTAAAACAATTCTTTAAAGATGCTGGTTGTACACTTGAAAAAGGTGCTAAAAAAGTAGCTGAAGGTGCTAAAAGTTTGGGTGGAACAGTTAAAGAAGGTGCCAAAAAAATAACTAATAAAATAAAAGATGCATTTTCAAGTGATGAAACTACAACACCATTACCAGAAGATCCAAATGCATATAAATTAGTACCATTGGCACCATTCGATGATACATCAAATAAATGCCCAGAAGGACAAAGACTTGATGCTAAAGGAGTTTGTCATCCAATTTAAGAAAGTTTTTTTGGAATTAAAATGAAATTGAAAAACAACAACAACACTGTGAATAATTAAATAAATGCTTTTATTTTTATATATATATATATTTTTTTTGTTGTAAATTAAGTATAATTTTTTAATGAATTTTTTTTTTTATTATTAAATAGACACAATGTTTGTGGTAGTACGTTTTCCGTTTTTTTTTTTCAATTATTAAAATAAACAACAACACACACACAAAAAAAATCGGTCTCAATTCTATAGAACTGATTACGCTTGTTGTTTTTTTTTTTTTAAATTATTCTTTTGGTTTGTTTTTGAAATATTAAGGTTATTTTATAACAAAAGATGATAATAATTTGCCCTGTATGTCAGTCTTTTCGTATGCGATGACGATTTTAATTAAAATAAAAAAAAAACATACAGTTGAACCTGGGTAAGAAGAATTTTAAGTGAAATGCCTCCACTTTCGAGAAAGCCACTTAGAGAAGTTTATAATATGTCTATTAGAAATATCAGTGGCGGGTGTATTGTATAAGATTTTATGCCATGAAATAAAAGGTTGACATAAAATAAGTAGCGCACTCACTATTGTAAATGTAAAAACCCGTGGAAAAAACGAAAATAATTAAAAAAAATGTTCGTTTTTAGAAAAAAAACAAAAATTGCACTTAAAAGATTTATTTTCTCAATTATAAATAAAAATTCAATTAAATATAGAATGAAATTGTGTTCCATTTATAGAGGGAGTTCGCGTAAATAATTTGACTAGCATGGGTTTCCTCTGATTCAAATATATGTTATCCATATTTAACACGTGTTATTCATTCATATTAATGTTTCAAAGGTTTTACAGCTTTAATCTATCTCAAAAATAAATTCTTTATAATAATAAAATCATTCGAGTGTTAATTGATTTTAGATTTGTTCATATTCAGCGAACATTTTTCATTAGCGAGGTTTTTAGGCAATTTTTCTTACCGTAAATTTTTTGTGCTATCTACGATAAAATACTTTAACGTAAAGAGACTATAATGTAGAGGCAAGTAACTCTCGTGTTATATATTTTATTTTACACTGTTGTTGTACGAGTATTAAGTATTAAAGTCAAACTTAGACTGGACAGCAGAGCTCGTTGACAATTAAATTACATACAATCAGTAAGATTTAAATGAAAATTTGACACGTCCTTCTTTTAACTGTAAAAAGTATTAAATATATTCTCTGAAGTAATCACGTACGCGTGCATAATAAAAATTTATTTCCTTATTTCTTCCGTAAAGTTTAATATATTTTAAAAATATTATATTAGTTCCATACATTTTTGTGTATATAAAGAGAAATAATCAACCGATTTCATTGAAATTTAATATATGAATTCCTCATATTAAAGCAATGAACATATAACTTTTTTGGAAAGATCAGGGCTCGAGAACTAATTTGCGGGCCGATTTTACATTTTTCACCATATCCACAGAACAAATTGATGGAATTTCTTGAAATTTGATATTTGAGTTCTGGTTGTTACCGAAACTAACTGGCGAGCATTTCAGGGAATTCGGGTAGCACAAAGTGAATCTCTACTAAGAGCTAAATTTACATTTTTCTAAGTATGTTAACTATAAGCTTACTAATGTCCTAAAAATTGGAAAGAAGTATTTAACAGACATTTTTATAATATTCTGTAACACTTTCATTTAACTAGACAATATACAATGCGGTCGGTTATGTGCTGACCACATCAGATTTTTTTTAATTATTTTAATTGAAAAATAACTAGTAAACTCTTAATTTATGATTCATTTCAACCAAATCATATGGACGTTATTCGCATAATTACTAATATAATTATTAAAAACTTTAATGCATCACGTATGTACGCGATTCAAGACTCTGTTAAGTATCTTTTAAACATGGTCAGTTAAATCAGTTTATAATAGTTTTTAATGAGTAAAGCTTAATTAAAAATTTCGTTGCAGTATAATAATTTTAATTATTATGTGAAAAAAATATGTTGCAATTGCAGTGTAGCTCGCCAATTTCGTGAACAACTTATTTGATATTGTCCTGAAAATTAATGCTCACTATATTAGGCCAAAGATGGATTCAAAAATAATTTTTAAAATGTTTTCTATATTTCATAATGAATAATCTTCTTCAAATTCCTATTATTCCTAATCAGAATTTAATACATTCATATTGTGACTCTAACGATGTAAGTTATAATATTTCTATCTTATCCTATATACATAAAACCAAATGTCGAGTGAATTTTCAACCTTTCAGAGCTGCATCCAATGCGGTTAGGGGGCCACTCACAAGAATTAAACAGCCAACAGGTGAATACTTTGCAACGTATATAATTATAAACAGTATGCACAATGCCACCTCCCAGGTAATCAAAAAGTTACTCAAAAATAAATCGAAAAAGCCATATAATCTCAAAATGAGAGTGTTTTTCCGAAAACCAAAATATTTTTCTTGAAACTACTTAAAAAATCTACTTATGAAATTTGCTCAAAAAAATCCACTCAAAAATTTCACTCAAAAAATTCCACTCAAAAATCGATCTTCAATATAATTTAAAACTTATACTGAAAAGTTGAAACTTATGAGGATATCAAAAAAAAATCACTAAAAATCACTTGAAAACAATTTAAGGAAACCACTTAAACAATTCACTTAAAAGAGTGATTTAATAACTTAAAAATGAGTTTTTTTTTCGTCAAACCATCTCAGCGTACATCTCCATCTAAACATCCAACCTCTGATTATCTTCGTTTAGCTGCCATCACGCTATATTCATTCAATAAGCGTGAAGCACAAACAAAATATGGGGCTTTTGTAGTACAATGATTAATCGCTTCGACACTGTGTATTCGTTTTTAATTTATTTTAATATATTTAATTATGTCGTGATACATATTCTGACAATTATTTAAACTTTTTGTTTTTGATAATTTTTTAATTATTTTCTGCCTTTTGTTGTATCAATTCTATCATTTAAAAAATCTATTTATAATTCTATTATTCAATAAATAAAAAGTTGTAAATTGTTTAATATTTATACTTAATTACTATAATTATATAATTATATAATGTAATAATATTATATAATTATTGGTCTATAATACTCACAATATTCCAACATAATTTTTTTATTTAGTGATTATAATAGAGCTCAATTTAGAAGTGCAATGGGCAAGAAAAGTGGTGTGTCGAAATCAACTTTTGTACTAAAATATGTTAGATAGCCAACTATATTTTATCAAATACTTATAATTAATCGTAATGATAGTAAAGACATGTTAAATTTTTTATGATAAAATAGCTAAACAAAGAAATTTTATGTTAATTACGAAACTTCGCTTAATGTTATTGAACCTTTACGAAAAATATCAATTTTGGAAAAAATTGCATACATTTCGGGGTATGGCATTTAGAAGAAAATTGAGTAAACATTCAATCAGTAATTTAAATAATATTCCAATAAAGTCAATCCAATTTAGGTTGAAATTCATAAACTTATGAACTTTTTAATTTTTTTGAGATAAGAATATAATTTTCAAAACTGAAATGACATAATTTTTTAATTTTCGGACTACATATTCAATATTTGTCTCAGTGGGAAAAAAAAAAGTCGTTCTATTCACATAAAATATGTTGTTAAAATATTCAAACACACTGTACCTACAATGTGGAATATACTTTAAATTTTTTTATGTAATAAGGAAGCATATTCACCTGTAATTGTACGCTCAATGACGGCCTGGCGACTACGGGAAAGTTCTAGCAAAACGGCATATTTGTGCTAATTGGCGTACAGTGAATCTGCTGTACCGACCACGTTAATCAGCAAAATAACCAAAGATGGACAACAAACATACTATACCGTCGAATTCAAACACACTGGTGCGCTCGAAACTTAAATTAACTAACCTAATAAAATTATTTTGTGTTAACTGGCAAACAAACTTATTTTATTTCTGTTTTTTAATTTTTCAAATAATTTACAATATTGAATGCTATAAAACTGGGATTATTTGATTCTTTGTTTGAATTTAATATCTAATTTAAGCGTTGTGAAAATAATTTGAACTACATAGGTATAAAATACAGTGTGGAAAATATTTCGCCTAAAAGTATGCAATTTTTATGAATTTTTTATTCTTTTTTTTTCAAAAAAAAATTTAATTACATAGAGTAAATTTTAATGGTAATTATTCTGAGTAACTCGAAACTATAAATGTAATAATATATCTGTGATGTTATTACACAGGGATTTCTGTTATGTTATAATGCATTCAATTGTAAGATTATACAATTATAAGATATAATATTATATTATAAGTAACCTATCAAAATTATTTACGGTTATTCAAAGTTAAAAGAAGGCAAAAATAAATTTGGATTTAGTAGAGACATCTTTCGGTGATAAGTAGAGTAATAATAGCAACATAAGAATTTAACAAAATGTTTTTTCTACAAAGGCATACATTGATATGAGAATGGGATGAACGGTTACGTGAGTAAAAATTCGTTGTAATAGAATAGCATGTATGTAATTTTGGAACGCTTATCTTTATAATAAATCGCGAATGCTGTTGACTGTTGATTTCGAACCATAGTTCAATTTAAGAGAAAATACTACAGCTCCTAATGTTTATAATATTTTATTATGTTCTGTATTCGTGTGTGTATAACATTCATAAAATTCTTGAAAAAATTCTCTTAAAAAGTATAGTTGCGTAGAACAAATTCTAGAAGTTTTATCTTCAGTTCTTGACAGAAGTAATAAGCGAGCAAATTTCTTAGTCACATATGTTGCAATTATACCAAATTACTAAATTACTAAAGAAGTATTTGTTATGGGAAAGAAACGTATAGGAACGTAACTTTGTTATTCGATTTGCAACATCGTTTGGTCGCTGGTTTGTAATTTCATATCATGCATAAACTTTTTTGTGTCTCATATTATTTGATCAATTTCAAAGATAAGATAAAGCTCAGGTAGGCACGTATTAGTTTATGTTTTTTATTTGAACTTATTTTCAAATATTTGATTCGGTCTAATAAATTTAATATGTTCGTCTTTAAAACAGCCGCATTTCTTATAATTTTATATTTCTTAGTTTGCCAAATATGCAACGTGCCGCTATTACATTCTCAAAAAATTAATGGGTGGAA